ATTGGTGAAGAAATCAAGAAAACAATAGATTCTAACTTCTGAAGTACCTACTCACGCATTAAGCTACCTTTTTAACTTTATTATAAGGGTTATACAGTTGAGAATCTAATGGAAAATTAAAAAAAAATTGAAGCTGGTATACTTGGTGTCAATACAAGCAAGCAAAATTCAAAGAAGTTTGTAATTATAATTCTATTCCACGCACGTAACGTAAATTATACCATAAACAAAGAAGTACACACGATACCGCATCCAAATAACACATTCGTTCCACGATTTTCTCAAAATAACTTGTGACGTGATTCATTTAAGTATTTGTTTTTTTTTTTTTTTAAATCTTTATTTTATTAGAAGGGCTTTTTTCCATACAGAAGATTTCAGCCCTATTATTGTGTACAATTTAAGTATTTGTTGATTTAATATGTTAACACAGAATTTTTCATTCACAACACACAATGAATTGAAAGTTTAGAAATCTCTGAGTCATTTTGTTTCACTTTGTCTCCGGGTTCTGATGTTAACTTAGAATTTCCCAATTGACACACTTAAATGATGACTCAGAGAAGAAAATCGTAATGTCATTTTTAACATTACATCGTACGTCTATTCGAAGGTTACTTAATATTGATGGAACATATGCGTATGCTTAAAAGAAAAGAAGCCTAAACAGAAGGTATTTAAATCTTAAAGTTGTGTGTCAATAAGAATCAATTTTGAAATTCCCTCTTTTATGATTTACTTGTATTTTCTAAGTAACATGCGATATTTAGCATAGCAAATGATTTTTTATGAATTTTGCAAGCTCAACAATGTGAGAAATGTTAACTGAGAATGTCAGAAAGATTCTGACATTCTTTCTCGCCCACCCGGTTCGATAGACTTCACTTGGTGATTTTCCATACTTAAAAATTTTAACAATCTTTATGATTTAAAGACTTTCTTTCTATTTTTCCATCACGAACATTATTTAACTATCTATTAAAATTAAAGAAACATTTTAATAATAAATGTACACTTAAAATAGCATTCCTACTTTATTTTACTCTAGAATCGCCAATACGTAAAATCTCCAAACGAAACCAATTAGACAGTAAATTAAAAAAGCAAGATAATCCTAAACCCCGAACTGACCCACTTGGTGAATGTGAAACAAATCACATTAATTCAGAATCTAAAAAAGTATCGAATGACATCATTGATGAAGCCATATCTATAAGAGTCACTCCTCACAGTCCGCACCTAAGTTCCTACAAATGGAAATTCGTTGCACTATATGTACCTACACGATCTTGCGACGGTTTGTCATTAAATAGAAACACAGGCTTTTAGATTCAGCCGGGGTTGCGGGGTAAGCGCAATGAGGCACCGCGACCTCGGCCCAGAGCAGGAGAAGAAACAGGGGGGTTTTTAGTCAGCAAGAGTCTGACACTCCCTCCCGCCCAACCCTGGGCAGGAGAAGTCATTTGATGATTTTCCCCTCACAAAAGAGACTTGTAGATAAATGTACAATATTAAAATTTATAGAGCAAAAGCGTAAAAAATACGTTTTCATATTGAATTCAGAACACAATCTCTACAACTACCTATGAACAATTATTGTACACTGTGTGGTCAAGGGCCAAAAAATAGTAGGTAGGTAAGTATTGATATATTATCAGAACAAAAATAAATAATATTGGTCATCTTAGCTTAAAACCAGTTGTTTAATACTTTAGAATCTAAAATATACTAATTAAGTCAATCTAAGAACCTTCGACCATCCTCTAAATGCTCTATAAATAAATTTTAGACATATTAGAATTTGTAAATATGCCTCTATTTCCAAAGCAAGAAAATAAAAGCAATAATTAAATTCTGACATAAAATTGACTAGAAAATCATTTGACTGGTTAGTCAGACCAGATAATCATATTGGGTACTACATCACTTGAAACTACCTAGTGCATAATTATCCGAGTCCATACTGTCCATAATTAGATAGATTCCATGGCAGACTTCAACGAGTAAGTTACGACTACACGAGGTAAACCTAACTAAAACATTGAGTCACATTCGTATTATAATAACAGGTTTTCAAGCGTATCTGTCAATGAATGAATTGTACTTAGATCCTGTTTTACATTTTCTGAAAGTTTCGGGAAAAGAAATATCACAATCGGTCTAGCCGTGCGAAATTTAAATTGGGATTCATTTATATTCTTACACATATAAAATTTTCGTGTCGCAATGCTAATTACCTTACTCCTCCGAAACGGCACGGTATTTTTCATACCCCTATATGATAAGAGTTGTCCAGACTTAATAACTGGCGATCAGGTATTCCATTAACGTTCGAAAAACGTCTGTTAACCACAGGGATAGTAGAAAATAATCTTGTTCAGCAACTAACTTATTCCGGTTCAGGATAAAATTAAATTTAATTATGTGAGTCATTTCTTATGAAAAGCCTTTAAGATTTAATCAGCAAGCACTATTGATGATTTCGCAGTACTATTAAAAATGTTAAGCATTTTAATTTCTACTTAGCTGAACTTGGCGAATTGGCGCTAGCTATGACGTCAGTTTTAGTTAAATATGACGTATCTATAAAATAATACTAACCTAACCTTATCCCTAATTTTCCTTCATTCAATGAGAATTATATTTACCAGTGAAAATAGAACCTTGATATAATGAAAATAAACTTGAAAATCCAATAATTGTTAGTTTATAAATTAACAATATATAAATAATATTAAAACAAGATTAATGTTTACATGTTTGAACACGTTCGTAAAGGCCGTTGACCTATCGACACTGGTAATGTCTGATTCGGATTCGTACGTAATTTTATTTCGCGATTTTCTTATAGTTACGCATCGATCACTAATAAAGAACGATCGATGTAGTTGCGTCATGCGTGTGTCTTTTTTTTACAAAAAGAGTTGGGTAATAGTTGAATCAAACTCTACAGGCCATTTCCAAAAAGGTTTCTTTAACGTCGCGCCTCATAGTAATGTTTCGCTTTTATTGTAGTTGCGTTTACATTCACAAACATTTAATTTAACATCATATAACACCTAGACCCGGCAGAACAATTTGTTGATGACATAAACAGTAGTTCCGTGTAGATTTCGCTGTGCGGCACGTTGCGTGGCAGCCTATAGCTTCACTAGAAGACTGACAATTTTTATACTTAACTAGCTGACTCATCAGACTCCGTACTAGTTCATATATGTATTTAATGTATAATCTTTTAAACCTTTCCCGAACTTCAACGAATATATTTTAAGACCAAAATTATCTAAATCGGACCAACCGTTTGCGAGATTTAGCGAAACTGACGAACAGCAATTCATTTTTATATTCATTATTATAATCAAAAAGATTATTTGTTCTACTTTCAAATGTAGGTACATTATTTTGATTCTATTTGACATAAATGATTTGAACCAACTGTGCATTGAAAGCAACCTCTTCTTTTTCAAGTCGGATATACTACGCAATCCTTATCAAATTCAAAGTAAGAGTGATATAACAATAACAAAACTAATTAACTATTATAACTCATATTCTTATTGGTTTTCGATTACAGAAATGTTACAATTTGTAACCAATCTTATAGGAACCAATTGAAAACTGATACCTACTTATATTATATAAATGTTATTAATAATAATGTAATACATAATAAACAAACATAATATTAGGTATATTATGTTTGTTACTATTATATCTTGATTTATATTGTTAAGCTGATATCATCGACACAGTTTACGCTTGACCTGCTAGTATTTACTTCCGTACACTTTAAAGTAATAGTATACTTAAGCGTATCGAATTACCTTTGCAATCATACCTGTTTATTGGCTAAGAATAATAAAATATTTAATGGAAGTAGTTCAAGTTCTTTCATTTAGCTAGGTGACGTCACTCGCGTCTTTGTTTTATGGGGGAGGGAAAATACTAGTGCGCAATTTGAGGATTTTTTTTCTTTCAGTGAGGAAATCGTCAAATAACTTCTTCCACCCAGGGTGAGGCGAGAGGAAGTGTACTCTTACTCACTCAAAATCACCCCGTTCCTTCTCCTGCTCTAGGCTTAGGCTGTGCTATTTTATTGCGCTTATTCCGCAAAGAGCCTTTCTGAGACTGAATTTGATAACCGATTTCAAAACATGTTGGATAAATTATCTTCTAAAATCTAGATTCTAAATCTCCCCCTTCGTCCATACTGAATCATCAAATCCTTAACCTCAAAAAATACGGCGCAACGCATTCGTTATTCTTCTACTATTACAGGTATCTGACTGTTTACAATCAAGTGATGCGTTCTCTCTATACCATGCCAAAAACCTAAAGGACTTTTTTAGGCTAAATGTCAGTACCATCCTAACATTCTTCCAACTCATTCATACACATGTCCATACCAGGACGTCAGTAAACTGAAGAGTAGACGAGTACCGTAGTACTTCTTCATTCATATTCCCGCATCGACTGACAACAACTTCGAAGCTAGCAAAACAAAAATAAACACAAAGCTATGAATGACTTCATCCCGCGCATACAATATTTGAGACAAGCAAGACAAAAAAAAAGGTTAACGAGACAAAACTTATGGGGGAGATCAAAGTCACCGAGGATCTTGAATCCGTTTTCAATTTATAAAAAAATAAAATCAAAAAAAAAAAAACGACGAATCTGACGATGCTAGTTGACTGTCACACATCGTCTTCTAAATTTGAAAAAAAAAATACATTATATTTATTCGCACGTGTTATGTAGGTATACTTCTTGCACTCTTCAAACCCTATACCTCTTCAGAAATCTTTGAAAACTGAAAATACTCAATGGTACCAACCCGAAGCGGTATAAAGGCTACCGCTGCTCGATAGTCGTATTGGCAACCGCAAGGCAATGAAGAGACTTTCCTCTACTGAGTAGGTAGTTGCAGCGAAATTCCATTGACACTTAGACTAAGTATATAAGATGTGATATAAAGGTGTACGATTCACCGCAGTGGAATGCTAAGGCTGTGGATTGGCCGAGCCGGTCGCGCACCGCATGCGATCTGCTCCCGTGCCGTTCCCGCGCATTCTTGCCGCGAGCCGCGAGGTGAACAACCGGCGCGCACGTCGTCGTCCTTGGAGCCGCGTGCTCCTTTCTACACAGCCTCCATCAACCAAGGGTTACCACATTTCCGTTGGAACTGGATACTGGATACATCTGGGCCGGTTCTCTACCGTCCAATTAACGATGATAATTACTGTGAATATGTGAACTCGCTCGGTTTAGTTGCTAGTTCTTTTTATAATCATGGAAACGCGTTGAGTTGTTTGTTTGTTTCTTTACTTTGTGTTCAAGAAGCTTCTCAGTACGATGCAAATGATCTCTTCGTCTACAGCAAGAACTAATGAAGTACATAAAAAGTCGTTTGACAACCCTAGTGGGCCGCTGGGCTAGCGAGGTTAGATAATTCACATGTCAGTGGTAAACTGTAACCCGAGTACCGTGACTGTGGAGAACTCTTTGCGCGTACAACCGTGCGGTTTGCGAGCTTTTCTCACATACACGAAATGTGATCCGAAGGAATTTAGCGTAGAAACGTAAAATTCCCATCCCACACGTGGAATCTATTTCATTGTCAAAGTTATTTTGTACGTGGAATGTTGAGCTTCCATTCACAAAACTCTCAAAGATGTCAGTAATTATTATACTAGAAACATTACTTTCTAAAAAAGTGTTAGTCAAATAAAATACATTATGAACACGAAAACCAATCACATTCCCAGATAAATATAATCTACAAATCAGTCTGTTTAAGCGCTCAATTTAACGGATAAAGCAATTATATTTTTATGCTAATATTCACGGCACACTTACTACTTTCTACCTACTACAAGTTAAGACAACCAGACCCCGTGGAAAAATTCTGTCATTCTTTAGACATTTCAGAATAAAAGTTGAATGAAATCTTTGTGAAATCTGAGCAAATCGTATTATACATTACAAAAATATAAATAAGCTATTTTTTAATTGTATTGTTTACGTCGTTATAAATTTTCTCGTCTTTAACGCAAAACACGTCTGTCTGCACAGTGTTCAGTGACAACTATTTCAGGAAAGTGTGCCCGCCCGTCGAAGGGGAAGATTCACATTAACCCGTGAAGTTCTCAAGAGACTGTCGCTCAACTTCAATTAGGACTAAATAATTAAGTGGCAATTCTCCAATTATCAACTGTTTGTAAACTAAACTTAGCTTTTTGTGGACATTGTACCGACCGGCAGACCATGAATACTTGACAAAAGGAGTCCACATTTCCACAATAAGTTGTGTTTTTATTGTCGCGATTGTACGCAGTCCGTGCGCTCGCGCCGCCGCCAGTATAGAGTTACTGCGTTACAGGTCGGAACTTCAAACAAAAAAGGCGACGTCTGTCTCCTCTGAGTTCACTAAACCAAAAACAATGGGACAAAACCAGAAATGAACGGTAAATGTTTGTTTAAAGAAAGAATAATGTAACGAGTAAGAATCCTGTGTAATCAAAGAGTATTTACTTTCGTCTCAAAGAATGAGTCGATTATTGGAACTTTACGAGTGACCTAATGAAATTAACTGTACTTCAGGTTAATGGCGTGTTACTGAGATACTCTTTATTATACATTAAGCTTTACCACTTATCCATTAAAGAATTATGTAATTTAAAGTGATAATGCTTCCATAACGTAGTATCATTATTTTTTTTAATGGGGCGGTGGTAAAAGAGTTTTTATCTATTTGTTAAATTATCAACAAAAGGATGAGGTTCGAATACTTTTACAGAAATAGCTGTGTTTTATATTGAATGTGAGTAAATAAAATGGTCTGAGAAAAACTGTAAAAAAGTGAGGATCAGATAGTTCAGACAGTTTTGTTTTTTTCTTTACCGTTACCATACTAGATTTCCTTCTACGTCGTGGGTGCATCACACCCTGATCCGGAACAACAATAAAATATATGGATCACACAAAAGAGTTTTCGAATTTGACGTTCCAATTTCAAAAGAAGGTTATAGTTTATAACAAAGTTTCGTAATGTTTGGAATTGCAATGCAAAAAGCTTCTGTTAAATAAATTCAGTCAACCAAGTTTGATTGGTAATTTCGCAATGTTCTTAACTTATAAAGGCTTTAGTTTTTATTCGTTCCGTTGGACTAATGTTAAATGAAGTCATTGAATGAATTTAATTATGATGCAGGTCTGCCTTGAGCCTATTGACACCGAGTGTTGCGAAACTTTATCAAGAGCTTAAGACATCTACTGACAAATAGTGACCTTTACTTGGACAAAGCTTAAATCAAGATATTTATTTGTAAATAGTGCAATAAGATGTTTACTGATAGGTTGAACTGTCTTAAAAATTGATAATAACAAATGATTATTAAAGACAATCTATCCTTGAGTCTTTTTTTTTCATTGTAGGTACTTCATGAATTATTTGGGAATGATCGGGAAAAATGTCTACCTACATGTAAAGGGGTCTAAACTAATCTTTAAGGGTTGGCTTTTATTGATGGGGGAAAATCATCCAATTACTCCTCCCGCCCTGGATGGGAGAGGAAATGTCACATTCTTACTGACTAAAAGCCACAAAGTTTGGTCTCCAATGCTACGGCCGAAAAATGATGGCAACACTCGTATCATCTCTTAATTCATATTTTGGCTTAAAGGACTCGTATCCAGGCCATAAACTCCAAAAAAAACATATTCGAAATTCGTAATTTAAATCCGAACAATTTCGAAGTCACACATCAACATCAGAATCGATTAGCCAGACTCGGGTCTATAGCCGGTCTTGCAAAGTTTTATAGTATTATCGATGTATCGACACGGATGCGCCGGCGTTCATGTGGGTTTTATCAAAATCCATTAACATACCGAACTAGCTCCATTTGGTAAACTGGTTCACAAGAATGAAGCCGTATGCTCTCCAACTAGTCTGTTCAACTGTAAAAAATATTATAGCTACTTTTTCTATTTAGCTTTCTCTAATATAATCTGCTTTTTAATATAAAAAATGTCTCGGATATAAGTAGTAGTGTAGAATGACGGTGTATTTTCATGTGAAATATTTAAGTTCGTCTGATTTGTACGTTGCCATTTTGAATCTTAATATAATTCGTATTTCTTATTAATTTTCTAACAGAGAAAAAGGAATGATGATGGAAACTCAAAAGAGACATTAGACCTTCACAGTTGGGGCACAGGGCCGATATTCAGTTGAAGTAATGGGTGCAAACGCAATAATGTAGGTACAACGTTCCCGACCTGGAGCATAAGAAGGAACTTGAGGTTCAGTCAGTAAGAGGCTGACACTCCCTTTCGTTACAACCTGGACAGGAGAAGTCATTTGTTGATTCTCCCTGAACGAACACAAAAATTCTAAATTCAAAACAATCCTTTTTAAGAAGTCTTTAGATTAGGTAATTCAATTGAAATCAGATCACTAGTTCAACGTCTTCAAAAAAGTAAGTAATGTATAAAATAAAAAACAAAAATTTGAATTTGAAAAAAGAACCGTTGAAAATCGAATAATATTAGAAGTGACGGATCTCATATAATTCTGCGTGGGTTGATGCTTTATGCTCGGTATGCAGGCACATGTTACCAACACCCCACCTTGATGATGTCACTACAATGTCAATGCTACGTGATTGATCGAATAGTCTATGAAGATTGATTTGTCAAATTGTCAACGTTTATTGTGGAAACTATTCTATTAAATACTTATACAAAGTGATCGAAATAGACACTGAAAATGTTAAAGATGGTACTTAGTTAAGATGGCAAGTTTTGTTGTGGGTATCTCTAAATGAAGTTGCAGGTTAACATTGAGATTAATGTTCACCTCCATTAAACTACATCATATGGACCTATAGCCGTGAAATAACGGAAGCCTCGGCTCAGAGCAGAAAAAGGACCGGGGTAGTTTTTAGACACTTTAATCAGTAAGAATCTGAAACTTTCTCTCTCTTGCTCTGTCCAAAGCGAAAGAAGTCATTCAATGTCGTGATTTTTCCCCCCTTAAAAAAGACAATTATTAACCCTCCATAAAAATCCTTTTTTGTTACAAAACAATTTTTCTATCACAACAAGAATTAGTGTGAGACAGCAGTTCTGGAGATTAGCGGGTTCAAGCAAGCAAAAAAACTAACTCTTCAGCTTTATAATATTAATAATATAATAATATAGATTCTTGTATAAATAAAACGTGTCAGTACCTGATACAAAACAAAACTACATCTAGTACCGATATCACATCGTGAGCACAAATCGTGATTAAGTTACGTAGGTACTCGTTATCTCCACCACGAAGACAGACGGACAGATGAAATATCCGTCTACATATTATTATGATATGCTATACACAAGCGATCCATTAACGCGCAGACATAAACATACAGAAATTGTTTAAAACATCTCATTACAACACTGGCTGACTGGTTGTTTATACTGAAACTGAATTATTATTCCGTGGTGTAAAGAAAAGTGTTATTTTTTTTTTATGTAACAGGTCGGCAAACGAGCAGACGGTTTACCTGATGGAAAGCAATCAGCGCCGCCCATGGACACACGCAACAGAGGAGTTACGACGGTTTAGGGATTTGGAGATTTAGGGACTGGGGAAGGATAGGGAAGGGGAAGGATTGGGCCTCCGGTAATCTCACTCACACGGCGTCGACAACAAGACAACGCTGCAGTTGTTTCACGCCGGTTTTCTGTTAGGCCGTGGTATCGCTATCCCGTCATGCCCACCTATTCGTGCCGAAGCATGGCTCTCCCACACTTTAAAGTCAGCAAGAGTTGGAAATTATGACTCGCTCCGTCCCACTTATTAGTAATGTTCTTTTTATTATTTTTATCTACTGCTTTCAGATCTATGCCCATCGCAGTGGTAGTCACCCACCCTTAGATGGTTGTCTTCTCTTTCTAAACATTCAACCAAATCAAGGTTTGTTTATATTTGTTGCGTAAATCGTCGACTGACTTCTCATACCCTGGGTGGGCGAGAAAAACATACTTTTACTGGCAAAAAACGAACCCAATCCTTCTCCTACTCCAAGCTAAGGTACATTATTGATAAGAAGTTAACAACCTGGGTTTTTGCTCATGCACCCGTAACACCAGGCTAACCAAATATAGTTAAGATTTAGTTCCGACTACAAAACTGAGAAATGTCTTGGAGAAATTAAAAGATTATGACCCAACCAACTATGTAGATTATAAAATACTAGGTACTGCACGTCGATTCTATAAAATTTGTTTTATTTTGAATCTTGTTCGAGTGCGACGTGAGCGTCGAAGTGACGAGGTAATTAAATTTTAGAATGCCACTTTTAATGTCATCTCATACTTTATCTATCAATATGTGGCT